ATTATTATTATTATTTTATTTAAACATAGGAGCTGATGATGCGATAGGCATGACGGTACAAAATTGCTGTAGAGTACAGGACATCATGAATGACACAATAAAAGCAGTACAAAATATGAATAATATAATACAAGAGTAGGGATTTAAAAATACGAATAACCATAAGGTTTGATTGCAAATGAGTTGCGACAAGCACAAATATATATACAGATACACCTAAAAATAGCGACTTTACAAACTTATGCAGAGCCTTAAAATCTATGATACAGGTGAGCCATTGTGGACAGTCATAAACCATGTACAAATCAATAAACTTTCCGGCTAGTGTGTTGAGACAATATAGAGCGGCCGAGGCTCCAAGCACAGCCGTTTGGAAAGTTTCATAGCCGATAATGAGTAGGGTTACAATGCGGACCCACGGCTGGGCAGGCATGGCTAGCCAGGCCCCGATGATGCAGAAAAGATTGGCGAAAAGTGCGGCCCCCAGTTTAAGTAATACGTACTCCATCGTACGGTCGCTGTCGCCAGCCCCTGTAGGACACATCACGTTTCGGATACAAGTTCGGACGGAAACACAGACATCATTTCCTTAATCATGCCTCGGTTAGACTGAAGGTGGTGCACCATACTGGCCAGTCTTTGTGGGTAAAGGTGCACGACCTCCCAAACCGCTCGCATGACATGATAGTACGGTTGTTTGCCTTCGGTCTCGCCAAAGGTGACAAATTTGTACGAGTCATCGCAAAAGAGAACCCAGCAGTCAAAAATATCGGCAGTATTTGTGAGTGAGTGAGTGAGTGAAAGGTGACAAATTTGTACGAGTCATCGCAAAAGAGAACCCAGCAGTCAAAAATATCGGCAATGCGATTGATCTTGCCATCAAGAGTATCGAGTTCCAGATCATCACACTTCTTAAGAAAATAGCTTAAAAGTACGGACATTTGGCAAGGAATGCTCTCCATGCGCGCCCTAAGATCTTCCACATAACCAAAGATGAGACGCGACATGCTGTTGAGCGCATTCCAGGTCGCCTCCCCAAGGTAAACATAACCTCCCTTACCCTTCAAGGGGGAAATTTGGACCACGGGCTTGCTATCGGCCATGCTGCAACGATACTCGTGGAATTCGGTGTACGTGTTGCGCACCTGATATGAAGGATTCTTCATGTGAGCATTGACACTGATTTTCCACTCAAAGCCAAACAAAAGTTCAAATTCCCTCAAGGTCAGCACAACCCCTTTGCTCTGAGCATTTTCAATAGAGACAAATGGAAGTAAGCCCCGCTCCAAATCGATACCCATTACAATACGCTTAGACTTGGACGCGTTGAGAGGTAGGGTGAGCTCTAGGATGGCAGAATAGCGCGGCTTCTTGACGTTATCGGGGGCGCCCTCCAAGGCAAGTTTGTGACACCACATGGTGGCGTCGTTGTACCAGCGGTCTCGCTCGTCAGTCGTACCTGTGGTCCATGAGGTACTGCCAGACGTAGTTGGTGGCAATGGTTTCGAGGAAGTATCCGAGGTAGATGATGCAGACAATGAATGGGATGAGGCAGACGAGTCCCCAGAAGTTGGTGAAAGGATCGATGCCACAGAGTTTTTCACAAACTCGTTTTTGCCATCGGCGTCGCCGATACGCACGGGTAGGATCCTCCGGGGCTCCATATTCCGCAGCTTCTTCGTCGGCGTGGATTCCAGAGCATCCGAGGAAGGTCTCTTCAAATCCTGGTTGGGCGGACAATAATTTCTATGAGACCTTTGATTTATTTTTGCACAAGACATGACGGGCGTGGTAATAAAGTAACTCACCTTGCACGCATCCTTTCCGCATTTAGGGCAGGTCTCATCCCAGCAGGGCTCAATATTCTGGCCAGGATTGGTCGAACACAGGACCTGTAAAACAAGATAAAAAATAGTATGACTAGGATGCGAGAGAGCGAGAACACAGAGAGAGAGATAGAGAGTAAGACACTTACCTTGCCAGTTCCGCATTCATCGATGCCCTCGTCAGCGCCGGTCAATGCAGGTTGCACAGTGGTCATGGTGGTGGTTGGCGGTAGAGGTGATCAGCGGAGCAGGTCGACTACGGTGGGTGACGGTCCGGAGCAGAATGATGTCTGGGAGCAGCGCCGTAGAGCAGAGTGGTGCTGTTCCCCCCACCTCCACATTTCCCCCACCACATTTCGTAGGGTCGGAGTGGGGGGACGGTCCTTAGGTTTCCGCCGGGCGGCAGCACTTTTGAAAGTCTAGTGGTGACTTGTCCGTGTTTTGAGCGTACTTTGGGTATGTGTGATGAAAGAGGCGCCGCACAAGGTTGTCATTTTTGTCGTAAAGACGTTTTGAAAACTTGTTGAGAAAGGCTCGGAGTGGCACACCACGAGACCGATTCAGAGCATAGAGGACGCAGTATTGCCCGCACACATCCGAGACTAAAGACTGATAACGATGCCTACTGTAGTCACACTCCTGAGCGTGCTTCTTAATAAAATCTAAATGATATGGCTTACGAGGAGGCTTCCCAATACTGTCTAGATATTCACAACGTTTATTTACAGATAAATATATGCAGACCCAATGCTTCCCCGGGTGCCCGCTTCCTGCTGTATTTACCACAAATAGGCTGGGGTAGGACACTTTGGTGGGCAGAGAATCAGCGGCAAACACGCCCTTGAAAATGCGCTTGGCGAAAGCGTCTTGTGATAGGCATTCAGCTATTTCCAGCGAATTCATGCTTAGGTAGAGAAATCTGTGTGGACAGCGCGATATTTGTCGATTTCAACAAGAGAGCTCCATTCACCATAAATAATCAGATTGACAGCATGCAGAAGATCCCGTTTAAAGCGTATGTCTATACGCAGGCAGCCCGTTTTCTGTACGTTCCAGTGGCCCGTGCCGGCGCTGTGGTCAGGAGAAAGATCAAAACAGAACACGGTATTTCCCAGCGGATAGTCATCCCTAGATAGGCAGTTCCCTTCATCTTTGTGATGGATCCCCGTCCCGCTAAAAAGCGTATTGTAGCAATCAATATACTGAGGCGAACGAGCATGCGTAAAATCAGGTGATAGGCCCTTTGAGGGCACTTGCACACCGTTGACATACAGACTGACGTGATTCGCGTCGTTATGCTCAAAGTTGAAAGGGTTTTCTTGCAGAGATCCGTTCACGGCCGTATTTTTCACCATCCCCAACATAAGCCGATCAGGTATCGGCCCCGTAATGACAGAATCGAAAGTTTTGCTTCTCAGCCCCGCATTCATGGTCAGAGTCTTGCATTCTGACCGGACGATGGGATATTTCGCAGTAGCTGTCTCCAGAGTCCGCGATATAGCCAAGAGCACAGTGGGGCTAATTTGCGCGCGACGTACCGTGATGGAGAGACTAGTGATTTGAAAAGTGGCTTCAAAAACAGCGGGCGCCATCATATGGAACTCTGGTTTGCTCATATGAAAGCGGAATCGCATTTCCACACCCGACAGCAGGTAGCGGTTCTGATTTAGGAAATCCAGGTGGAGCGGCGTAATCATATCGACAACCCGACCCCCTTTAAAAAGTTCTGCCCTCTGTTTGTACCCCATATTAAGAGCCGTGCGCGCCTGAAACTCTCCAGGAGTGTCGGCATAGTACGCACGCGCCGTCAGATGCGAGCTCTTGGCGTCACTTCCGTACCCAAAATGAGTTTGCATGTAAGCTTTGTACGGGTACAACCAATTCCCACAGCTCACAGGCTTCCCGTTCAGCAAAAGTTCGACATGAGAAAACGCGGAATGGCAAATTTGGTTGACTGGCGCTTCCGGGGGCAGAGCGTTCGCATCAGCCCCGGCCACGACAGGGGCGAGCACTTTCCCCGACGTATGACACCGTATGCTGTTGACGTCGTACAAGTCATCACCGGTCGTTGGCGGGACGACGACTTCAATCACCCCACCCGGGAGAATGGGCGCAACAGGAAAATGCTCAGACTCGGAATACCCCAAAATCTGGTGCTGCGTCTCCGGTACGCTAAATATTTCAAGTTCACTCTTAACACACTCACAAGAATGCTGATGGAGGAGGGCCATGATTCTATCCAAAGATATCCTTTTTCACAAAGCAAGCCTGGCGTTTTTTCTTTATGGTTTTCTTCACCTTATTTTTCTTGACGGGACTTTTCTTTTTCTTTTTCGCCTGACGCTTCGGCTTACGGCGCTTTGCAGGCGTGCGTCTCCGGACCCGACTCCTAACGGACTGACCTGGGCCGAGCATGGCCGACGTACTTATACTGCCACCCAGCCCGTACATTTGGCGAATGTTTTCTCGCGCCTTTCTCGCGAGAGCATCGCGCGACTCGATCCACCGGCTGTTTAGCGACTCTGCCATGGGTCTATGGTTGACCAGAGTGTCCGTGACGACGTTGGACCCCGCGATGAGGGCCTGCCTCCCGACGGCCGCGGCGGCCTTCTTGGCGAGCGGAACTGCGATGCGGAAGAGACCGCGTAGGAATCCTCCTAGCCCGTGCCCGCGTTGATAAGGGCTCCCCGCGTAAAAGTGACTAACCCCCCGACCGCCTTGAGCCTGGACAAGGTAATGCGCCGTATACGGACACCCCGCGCCGCCGTGGCCCCTGTGATATCGCTCAAGAGCCATTCTCTACACAAACTGTCTCCTGCGAAAATGAAGTACGACCGTGACTGTCCCGTGAGAGAATGACACATTTCGCCCCAGCGTGTCCTTTATAAGGATATCAACGGTCTGAAAGTTGCGCTTTTTGACGGGCACGTAAAACGGCTTTGTAATGCTGACCGTGTGTGTCGTCCCGTACGGGACCTGAGCAACACAGGTATTGACTGTCCTTAAAAGCGGCGCAAGAATGTCACCAACAGCCTCATCAGTACACAAGTCGCAATAGACGTACATCATGTCGGGCAGGCCGGCCAATAAGTTCACTTTATAAGAGGACTTCCCGGCCCCGAGAATATTCTGGTCGTATTCAAAGCCGAGCACGGAACTCAAATGGGGTGTAAGAAGCACGAGCTCGAGAGGGTCCTCCTTGGAAAAGGCCTTGTTTTCACTGAGCCGGGCCCTATCGATGTTCGGGGTGCAAACCCCCTCCGCATCTACTCTCAGTTGTATGCCCGGCGGAAATTGGGTGTTGACGGCTGACACAAGATTGTTAGTGCTCGCGAAGTGCCCGGCCCTAAGATGCTTCACTTTTTGTTTCCCGGTTTCCGAAACCCACTTGACAAACTCGGCCGTTCGGTAGAAATGCTGGAACGTTATCGGATAACTCATTTCGACTAGGGCGACCTCATAATCTTCGGGGAGATTCACAGCGCGCGCCATCTGGGTCGTATATTCAGAAGTCATATTCTTGGGGTACGATTCCATACTCGAATTGGAGGGCAGCGTAAGATAAAATTGGCTCATGTTGGCGACAGGTTATCGACCCACGCGTTAAATTTGTCGGGATAACCTCTAAACTTTACAAAGTAACGCGTTTTGCCGGCGCGCCGCTCCGTACGGATCACCCGCTCGATCTTAAACAGTTCGGTTAATTTTACCTTTTGCAACTGGTGCGCGTAATAACTCCCCGCAATTTTTTCGTGTTGAAGGTCTGAAATCTCAAAGACAACTGGCGTTCTAGCCAGAATCTTCGTTATCTTAAACACTTCCTGAGACCAGTTTTCCTCGTATGCTTTGCCGAAGGGGCCCTTCTCCACCCCGATCCGAACGTAAGTCCCTACGGTTAGTTCGGGCGCCCGCCGCCCCGGTCCGACTTTATCCCACTTTCGTTTGAGCCGCGCGTAGACGAGAGCCATGTTTGAGCTGTTGACATCGCGCGGAGCCATGCCGATGGTGGCGTGGCGAGCTGCATTGTAACTTGTCAAAAAGTCGGGCAGTGCGTCGATGTACCGATAACTGGAGGTTTTCGTGAAATATTTCCACATTTTCGCTTTTAAAGTCCTGTTAAATCTTTCGACTAAAGAATTCTTGATGTCGGGGTCGTTGCTGGAGTAGTAGTGGACACCCTTTTGCTTTAGTAATTTCCTAACCTCTGCGTTCAAAAATTCTTTTCCACGATCGGAAGACAGCAGGGTAGGCGTGGCTTCGGCGAATATGAGCTGAAATGCGTCACGTACACTTGCGCCCGATTTATTCAAGAGCGGGACGGCCCATGCTCGTTTCGAAAAAGCATCAACGACGGTCAAAATGTACTTATAATTATCGTTTTCTTTTGCTTTCGATTGCATGTCGACAAGATCGGCCTGCCACAAATCGTTTGGAAAATAAACAATGTACGGGTTACGTGAAAAGCGCTTTCGTATCGGCCGGTGAAGCGTGTAGGGCTCTTCTCCCTGCAACCAATCGCGTACAAGTCTGAGTGGGATATGGGTCTCTTTCGACAAGATCTCTGCCGTCGAGTACGCCGCGGGATGTTTCGTGTCGTAATAAACGTTTCGAAGAATATTGTCCACGTCATCGTTTACAGTCTGATTCGCACCCACGCTCCGGGCCCCGTCGTTGACTTGGTCGTCGACTTTGTCGCTGACTTTGTCGCTGACTTTGTCGCTGACTTTGTCGCTGACTTTGTCGCTGACTTTGTCGCTGACTTTGGAACTGGCCTTGCGGCGGGCTTTGTGCCCACCTTGGGCGCGGCCGCTGCCGCGTCGCCCTGACCGGTTTGCATTTGCGCCCAGCGCTGCGAGTTGCCTATCAGTTCGTGGGGCACGTTTAGCCATTTCAAGAGTTTCAAAAACGGAGCGAGAGCCTGCGGAGTGAAGCCTTTCCGCGAGCGCATGGCATCGCCTATGTAGTCAATCAGATTCGAGCCTTCCAGGACCTGATTATCGATGGAGACAACACCATTCTTGTCCCACGAAATACGGTCAGATTTGGAAATAAAATCGTACAACGCACCCGCCTTGTCGCGATAGGTGGGCGGAATTTCCGTTTGCGTGCGCTCTCTGAGGTTATGTTTCACGCCGCTTGGCTCCTCCTTTACTTTTGGGGGCTCCGGAGGATCTTGGATTGGGATTTGAATGGGTTTTCGCGCCTCGCCTAGTTTGAAAAAATATCTCTGCAATTGATCGTTATAAAGCGCCCACTTCTCACTGTCTGAAATAGCCTTAAGATTCAAAATTTTGCTCATCGACACGTCTAAATCCTCCAAGCTGTTGCTTGCCGGAGGCGGAGTCTGCAGCCTCGCCAACGCTTGTGGATCAACGAGCAACAGTTTTTTAGCTGCGTTCATCGCGAGGAAAAGGAGCGCAGAATGGCCGCAATGAGAGGCCCAACCAGGGCCCCGAGAAAGCCACCGCCTCTCTGGACGAGTAACTGACGTTTCTTTTGTACGCCCTCCCCGCGCTTCGTCAGTCGATGCAAGAACTCGCGATGCTTTTTCAGCTTCGTTTTTTGCGCCCCCGATAACCTCACATTTCCTAGTAGCACGTTATGGGCAGCCTCCACGAGACAACGAACAAGATCACACGTACACGTTTTCAAAAGCGACTTACGCCCCGCAGGTTCAGCCTTCTCTAAAGCGCGGAGGAT